TGCATCAATTCTTCTACAGTATTCCTTAAAAGGACTGTGTAACTTTCACATGCATATGAAGCTATTGAAAATACTATGGCTTTAGTCAGGAGCACCTTTGTCCTCAAACTGACATCTTTGCTCTTAAACACTTTAAAAGAGGTCTTGTGCAATTTTCCTAATGCATTGTGTCATTTAATTTCTTAACTGCTGGTTGCAGAAGAGGTGGTAGTGGAAGTCTAAACAAAATGAAGTCTTGACAACTTCAATCTGTTTTCCCTTCATCCTCATGTTATTTATTGGTCCAATGGTAGGGATTTTTGTTTTCTTTATAGTATTGAGGTGCAACTCATACTAAAAGTTGTGGTTGCTGATTTTCATCAGTAAATATTTTAAGTCCTCTTCACTTCCAGCAAGCAAGGTTGTATCATCTGTATATTGCAGGTAGTTAATGAGTTTTCCTCCAATCCTGATGTCGTGTTCTTCTTCATATAATCCATCTTCTCAGATTATTTGTTCATTATGATGAAGAATGCAACCTTGGCACACACCTTTCTTAATTTTAATGTGTCCCCTTGTTCTGTTTGAACAGCTGCCTCTTGGTCTATGTACAAGTTCCTCATTGTTGTTGTTGTTATTATGTGCCGTGGAGTCGTTTCCAACTCATAGCGACAAGTTCCTCATGAGCACAAATAAATGTTCCGGGATACTTGTTCTCCACAATGTTGTCCATATCTTGTCATGATCCACACAATCGAAAGTCTTTGTGTAGTCTATAAAAAACAGGTAAGCATCTTTCTTGTATTCTCTCCTTTCAGCCAACACCCATCTGATGTCAGCAATGATATCCCTTGTTACACATTCTCATCTGAATCAGACTAGGATCTTTGACAGTTCCCTGTTAATGTACTGTTGCCACCATTTTAAAGTGGTCTGCAGCAAAATTTTACTTTCATGTGATATTGCTATTTTCTGATGATTTTCACATTCCATTAGATCACCTGTATTTGGAATGTGCACAAATATGGATCTCTCCCAATTAGTTAGTCAGGTAGCTGTATTCCAAATTTCTTGGCATAGAGGAGTGAAGGCCTTCAGTATTACATCATTTATTGAAAGATCTCAATTTGTATTCCACCAATTCTTAGAATCTTGTTCTTTACCAAGGACTTCAGCGCACCTTAGTATCATTGGCTCTTGATCATCTCTTGTCAGGTTGTCTGTCAGTTTGTTGTGCTGTGCTGGCTTGCGTGTTGCTGTGATGCTGGAAGCTATGCCACCGATATTTTAAATACCAGCAGGGTACACCCATGGTAGACAGATGCTCCTTGGAAACCTCATACAGAGTCTCTATGAGTCAAAAGAGTCCTGGTGTGACGCTGTGGGTTAATGCACCAGACTGAGAAGTCTTTTGAATCGCAAGGTTGGCGGTTCAAGCTCACCAGTCAGTCACTCCTTGGAAACCCTATATAAGGGTTTCTATGGGTCTGAATTGACTGGACAGCACTTAACAACAACAACTACCAGGAGTCAGAACAGACTCCATGGCAATAGCAATAACAACATCCCACCCTTGGAGTCCTGGTGTATCACTGTAGGGTTGTTGTTGTTGTTGTTATGTGCCATCGAGTCGGTTCCGACCCATAGCGACCCTGTGTAGGGTTTCCGAGGGTGTAAATCTTTACGGGAGTAGAAAGCCTTATCTTTCTCCCGCGGAGCAGCTGGTAGTTTTGAACTACTGACCTTAAGGTTCGCAGCCCGATTCGTAACCACTACGCTACCAGAGCTCCTATCACTGTAGGGTAAGTACTGGAATACAGACCCAAAGACTAGTGGTGTAAAGCCACCAGCTGAGCTTCAGAAACTCTGTACAGGATCTCTGTGAGTAGGAATGACAGCAGCTATCGACAGCAACATCCCACCCTTAATCCTCTTATTGGTTTAGCACATCAGATCACATCATGCCAAGACACTGAGAATTATGACCCAGCTAAAGTGACATATACATGAAAACTATCACATAATTCACAATAAAACATTTAAGAAAAAAAAAGAAGAAATGGGAAAAAAAAAGAAGATATAGATATTCTTGACAATAAAAAAATAAAGTGACATATAGGAGCTCTGGTAGTGTAGTGGTTACGAATTGGGCTGCAAACCGCAAGGTCATCAGTTTGAAACTACCAGCTGCTCCGCCAGAGAAAGATGAGGGTTTCTGGTCCCATAAAGATTTATAGCTTTGGAAACCCTGTTCAGGGTCGCTATGGGTCGGAACAGACTTGACGTCACTTAACAACAACAACAAAGGTCAAACATACATTTTTGGGGACACAATTCAATCCATGACAAAGATGATTTTGGATAGACTCATTTATATAGGTGGTACAGTTTGAGTCTTCCTTTTTCCATTTTCATACAGAACTCTAAGCTTCCTTATGTGCAGCTTTGTGCTCATCCTCAGGCACCTCTATATTTGCAAGTAGTCTTGCCTTGTTCTTTCCAAGCTGGTCACATTGGGCTCCAAATTCCTAACAGATCAGTCCTTTCCTGACTTCCTCTTTTTAAAAATTTTGTTGTTGTTGAGACTACACACAGCAAAATGTACACTAACTCAAAAGTTTCTACATATACAATTCAGTGACATTGATTATATTCTTCAGCATTGTGCAAACATTTTCACCCTCTTTTCTAAGTTGTACCTCCTCTATTAACACAAACTCATTGCCCCATTAAATTTCCTTTGTAATCTTTCAAATTAACTACTGTCAGTTTAATCCCATCGAGACAGTTTTTAAAAGAGCATCCTGTTCAAGGCAAAACTTGTTTTACTAGTTAAGTGAAACCATTGTTTAGTTTTAAGATGACTTCAGGGGATATTTTTTGTTTAGGGTTTAAAGATGAGCTTAGGGCAATAGTTTCAGGGACTCATCCACTGTCCCAGGTTCCAGAAAGTCTAGAGTCCATGAGAAATTGAAATTCTGTCCTGCATTCTGTCCCCACCCCTCTTTGAGTCTTCTATGATCAGGATTTTTCTATGGAATCTTTGATCAAAGTATACAGTAATGGTAGCCTGGTGCCATCCAGTTCTCCTGGTCTCATGGTAAATAAGGTCATTGTTCATAGAGGCAATTAGTCACACATTCCGTACTGTCTTTCTCTGTTGTTCCAGGTGAATACAGAGCAATTGTGCCTTAGATATCCACATTTTAGCTTCTAAGACCTCAGACACTATGCAAGGAAGTAGAACAGAGCCCTAAACATGGTATTAGGCTAATCAACAGGGCAGTTCCATTAAATTTGGTTTCCTTTTTAATATATCTTCATACACTGTTTTGCATCCTGGTTTCAATGTATCTGGGACAGTTAAATCAATGAGGACCATTAGGGTGGGGCTGGTTGATGCTTATAGCCATAGTTTAGCTTAGCAGAGGTTTCTTGGAAAATGGTTGATGAATGAATGATTGATCAGTGATTGAATGTGAATATGTGAGAAACACTAGGAAGGTGGATGCAAATTGGGGGCATGGTGAACAAATAGATATCAAGTCCCTGGGTGAGGCACTGTGTGATAATGCACCTCAACCACAAGGTCCCTTTGAATTGCAAGGACAAGGTTGGTGGTTACATTTACCAGCTGCCCCTCAGAAACCCTATACAGGGTCACTAGGAGTCAGAACTGACTTGAAGGCACTTAACAACTCTGGTGTGGCGCTGTCGGAAAACCACTGGACTGCTAATCACAAGGTTGGCAGTTCAACCACACTAACTGCTACTCAGAAACCGTAAGGGGTCTTTATGAGTTGGAACCGACTGGACAGAACTTAAAACAACAACAATATCCTGACGTGCATATAGGAACACAAAGCAAACAAAACAGGTCCTAGACTAAGGAGTTTTTATAGAACCATTTCTAGCTGCATGATTCTACTTTTATGTTTGTATCCGGAGTCCTGGTGTAGCACTGTGGGTTAATGCGTCAGATTGCAATGCCATTCCAACTTCAAGGTCGGCAGTTCAAGCTCACCAGCTGCTCCTTGGAAACCCTATACAGGGTCGCTATGGGTCGGAACCGACTCTACGGTACTTCACAACAACGTTTGTATCTGCTCAATTAGTACCACATCTACAGAACCAGCCTATTTGCATAAGTACAAAGTAGGTCATTTTGATCTACTGCCTTCAGAGTCCCGGATCCACAAGCACCCCAGTGCACTGTCCACCTCAAACTTCCTGCCTAAAATGCGGGTTTCTTGATGTTAGAAGAGGTCCTTGGAGTGTGGATAAAGCCAAAAAAGCGATGGGGAAGCTTATACAGGATCGATAGCATGTCCACCAGAGGGTGCTGTGGGGGCAAATACTTGCCCGAGGGGAGCTTGACCAGTGACCCTGAGAGCCAGGTAGAAGATTGAACAATTTTCATTCTTCCGTGCATTTGTTTGTTTTTCACCCCCCCTTGAACCACCGTCGCCCCTCCCCCTACATATGACACCCCCTTAAAAAATTAGCTACTTTCTGGGACTCAAAGAGTGCTTGCTTCGAAAGACGTTCCTTGTTTCTGACGGCCGTGGCTCATGCCACACAGGTCACTGGCCAACCAGGGTGTGGGCGGGTGGGGCTCTTCGCGCGTCAGCGACCTGGGCGCCGCAGGGGCCGCCAAGGGGTTAACCCGGCGGGGAGGGGGAGGAGGAGGGGGCGCGGGCCGCGCCTGCGCTCTGCCGCCCTCCATTGTCTCCACCGCGGCGAGGAGCGCCGGCAAGCGCAGCCGGGGACCTAGCTGGGCGGCGCGGCTGGCGGGGCCGGCGGCGACTGGAGCGAGAGCACAACGCAACGCGATCGCGGCTTCCAGAGCCCCGCTTGGCCTCCTATCGCCGCAGCCTGCTCGAGGCCTGAAGTGCTCCGGGCCACCGTCCATCGTCGCCGCGTCCTGAGACTGGAAACGCGCCCCGCGCCCCAGCCTCCAACGCCGCCTCCTCCCGGGCGGGCGGCCTCCCGGCGCCTCCCTCCCTCCCTCCTTCCCTGCGGCTCCCCGGGCTTTGGGAGTCCGGGGGCGGCCTGTGGCGTGCGGAGCCCGCGCCGGACTGCGCCTCCTTGGACCTTGAGGAGAAACATGCGTTTGGCTTGGATCGTTTTAAATTCTTAGTTTGGGATCCCCGCCCGCCTGCCTCTTCCGCCCCGCAGGTTTTCTTCTTGCCTTTTTTTTCCTTCCCCCTTTTCCCCTCACCGTCTCCTTTTTGACTCCCGGCTCCTTTATGCTGGCCCAATCCTCCCCCAGCTGCTGAGAAGTAAGGGAGGGTCTCGGCCTCCAGGTTCCCGCTCCGTCGGGACCCGGGCGAGGATGGGGGGCAAGCAGAGTACGGCAGCCCGCTCCCGGGGCCCCTTTCCTGGGGTCTCCACCGATGACAGCGCGGTACCCCCGCCTGGAGGGGCGCCCCACTTTGGGCACTACCGGGCGGGCGGCGGGGCCATGGGGCTGCGCAGCCGCTCGGTCAGCTCGGTGGCAGGCATGGGTATGGACCCCAGCACAGCCGGAGGGGTGCCCTTTGGCCTCTACACCGCCGCCTCCCGGGGGACCGGCGACTCAGAGAGGGCGCCCGGCAGCGGAGGGTCTGCGTCCGACTCCACCTATGCCCATGGCAATGGTTACCAGGAGACAAGCGGCGGTCACCATAGAGACGGGATGCTGTACCTGGGCTCCCGAGCCTCGCTGGCGGATGCTCTACCTCTGCACATCGCACCCAGGTGGTTCAGTTCGCACAGTGGTGAGTCCGCGGGCGGTGGAGGCCTCGGAGGGTGGAGCGCAAGGGAGGGCGCGCTGGGTCGCCACAGACCTTCATGCGCGTGCAAAGGTTTGGAGACGGAGTGCACGACCTGGTTGTGCCCGCGCCCCTTTGGTCTGTGAAGCGAGGGGCTCACTGGGATACCCACCCACACTAGCCAAGATGCTTTCTGCGAGTCTTGGAGCAGAGTGGTTTGCGACTGTAGACTGGTGGGTGGACAGTGAAACCTCCCTCCCGAAGCCCCTTTATTGGTATCCGAAGCCTCCGAAGTGGTCTTGTCTGGCTTCTAGCAAGTCAGCGTGGGTGCTTCCATTCTGTCATTGCAGCATTGTGTTTGCTTCACTGTTAGAGATGGAGCCTATCTGACCAAGCAGTGTCTTCCAAACAAAGCAAAGAGTGTGAAAAGAAATGTAATTGGGGCCAAGTGGTGCTTGCATTAGGACTCTCCCCCTTACTGGAGAGGGGACTTCCCAATTTTGCCACCCTGCTGGAGATATGTTTGTATTGTTGGAAATGGAGCAGCCAGCAAGCTGGTGGCACAGACAGGTGTGGCCTGCTCCACCGAGGGTCTCCCACCAGAGCCTTTGCAGGACCTGGGCTGATCTCAGCTCTTGGTACTGCATGCAGAAGGCTCGCCTGACTGCCTCTCACATCCCTCCATCTTTTTTCTTTCGCCTCCCTGTTAAGTGCTGGCTCTTCCCATGAATCTGCATCTTTTTGTAACAGAGAGCCTGGCAAGGTGGCATTTTCTTTGCCTGGCTGTTGGCACATGACTGGAGAAGAGGATTGAGAGAGTCTGGACTGATGGATTCATTCTGTGAGCTTCTGGGGGCAGGCCAGCAAAAGGCTGGAGGGGATTTCCCAGGCTTGAGTTGGCAGGAACTGCGGGAGGAAAACAGGTCTGTCTGCTCAGCTGACCTGAGTCGCCAGGTTCGGCTTCTAGAAGACTGACTGGAAAAGGGTGTGGAACCACTGTTTGCTGATTGGCAGGTGGGAGTGAAGAAGTTACAGATTCAGACTGCTCCTGCTCTTTAGGACCCAGAATGGGGTTTTATCTGTTGGATCACTCTTCTAGTTATGAGATAGGATAGACAGTTTGGAACCATTTTTATCTGGAAGTAGCATGGGTTTACTCCGTTTTTGGTTTTTTTTCCCCTTAAATCTAGTAATTTCAACTTGCTTTTTTTTTTTGAAGGGACATAGTAACTAACTTGGAGGAGCACTTGAAAGTAGATTTTGAAGTGCTAGGTAGGATGATGGTATTTCAATCCTCAGACATCCTCTGAGTTGCATCTAATTCAGCCCTGATGGGACTCAAGGCATGGCTGTTGTTGATACATTTTACCAGCTTTGTTGTTGTTATGTGCTGTGGAGTTGGTTTCCACTTATGGGGACTCTGTATAGTTTCCAAGGAGCAGCTTGTGAGTTTGAACTGTCGATTTTGCTGTTCTTGAAAATCTTGGTTATAATTTTGTGTGCCACAGAACAGAGGCAATCTTTCCAGGGCTTGACTGGGAAGGAAGGAAGAGAATTTACGTGTTGCTAATTTTTTTCGTAATCTGTCTCTTACTAGAAACGTCTTTATTCCTGTTGAACTGCCAGGTTCAAGCCAGACTAGAGTTACAAGCTGATTCCAAAATTTCAGGCTCCGTAACTGTGAAACTTTAGATTGATTTTTTTTTTTTTTTTTTTCATTCAGCATGGTGAGGCTGTGTTGGAGAGGGAGACTGAGTAATGGGGATCCAGCCAAAGTTGGAGCATGTTTGTTCTTTAGGGGAAGGTATCATCCTAAAGTAGGAGGAAAAAGGTTGTTAGTATTGTGGATGATACATTCTTCGCTGTATATGACTGGTCTGCCTACTGCAAGACACTGAGCATCCCTGGCTCCGCCCACTAAATGCCAGCTGGTGTTAAGTGCCATCAAGATGTTTCTGACTTATCAACCTGTATATGGTTTAGAGAAGCTGATGAGTTTGAACTGCTAACCTTTCGGTTAGTAGTCCATTGATTATTCTATATACTATACCAGGACTCTAAATGCCAGTTGTTGTTAAATGCCATCAAATCGACTGACTCAGTGATGCTTTGTAGGGTTTCCAAGGAGCAGCCTGGTAGGTTTGAACCGCCAACCTTGCCGTTAGCAGTTCAGTGCGTATCCTATAAGCAGCACACTAGGCCTCCAAATGCACTCTACGTAGGGTTTCCAAGGAGCAGCTGGTGGGTTTGAACCATGACCTTGAGGTTCATAGTCCAGTGCTTATCCTACCACACCTTAGGACGGATACCCTCAGGAGTGGTGGTGGGGGTAATGGTTTCATCCTGGTTGAGAACCACTGCTTTCGGGAATTGTTCTTTTATTTAGCTAAGTAATGAACAGCTCCTTTGAACGGAAGCTTCTTAGGGCCAGTCTTCTGTAATGGAGGTTCGGTCTCACCTCCTGGAACAGACTGTGGAACCTTCTGGGGTATTCCTTTCCTCTCTGGTTCGTTGTTCCCAGAAGAAAACCTCGGTTCTGCTTTGGAACCTTTGAGTAAGGTCTGGGCTATTTTTTGCTCTCCTGTTATAAGATAGATTGGCCTTAACTGGGTTTCTGGAGGAGGAAAAACATTCTGTGGTCTAAGAGCTGATAAGGATTTCAATGCATAATTGACTTAGAAGCCTGAAAGTTGACAGGCTACTCTGCTTGTGTTTTCAATTTCAAAATGCTTCATGTACACCGAAAAAAGAGTAGTCCGTGACATCAGTAGGGGACTTCACAAGGGGCCTCCTCACAGACAATGAGCTTATACTATGTGGAGCTTCCAGCCCTAGCTCCTTTTTTGAGTAGCTTTGACCTTGGGCAAGGCCTCTTTCAAGCCTCAGCTGTCTTATCTGTAAAATGGATGTGGCCATTCTCAGCAGTGGCAGCTCGTAAAGCTTAGTTCTCAAATCCCATGAGAGGAAACACCACAGTCCATGTGCCTGGACTGTTCTTCCTTGCATTCTTTCCTTGGATAGCTCCTCCTGTTTCCTTAGGTCTCCACTTTAATTTCTCCTCCAAGAGGCCTTCCCTGACCACTTCTAAATTGGCTTTCTTCTGCTAGTCTATCCAGCCATTCACCTGTTTCTGTAGTGGCACAGAAGTCTTGTCTCCATATGTTTATTTAAATGCTTTTGCATTTGGATTAAATTCTAAGCTATAGGAGAGCAAGATTGTGCTTCTTGATCATTATTGTAACCCTTGAACTGCGGCATGTGCAGATACTTGTTGCATGGATGAATTTGAATGCATCCATGGTCCTTCTCATTTATTGCTATTAGCTGCCATATCATTTCTTCACTATAACTCATTTTACATGTGAGGAGACTGAGGTTCTGGGACTGGTGTGGCGCTGTGGGTTAATGCTCTGGACCGCACAGCTGGTTGGAACAGCAGGGTTGGCGGTTCAAGCTCCCCAGCTGCTCCACAGACACCCTATACAGGGTTTGAGTCACTATGAGTTGGTACTGACTTGATGGCACTTAACAACACCACCACCTAGTTCAGTGGTGGAACTGGGATCAGAATGCAGATCTAATACCAGAACCTGGGCTCATAACCATTACACTTTTCTCTCATCCTATAAAGGTAAGGAAGAGCCGGATAGTGTCCTGGAAACACATGATCTAGAAGTCAGAAGGCTAGATTAGATTGCTCTGTGACCTGTAATCTTAGGCAAGTGAGTCATTTAGCCTCTGTGTCACCATTTCTTCATCTCTTCATCTGTAAGATGGAGATACTACTTCTGCTGTGGCGCTGTAAGATCTGCACTTTGGTAGTGTAGCGGTTATGAATTGGGCTACTAACCTCAAGGTCAGCAGTTCGAAACTACCAGCTGTTCTGCAGGAGAAAGATGAGGCTTTTTCTGCTCCCATAAAGATTTACAGCCTCGGAAACCCTGGTGGGGTCACTATGAGTCTGAATCAACTCCCCCTACATTACCAGCACCACCACTAACTGTAAACTTGGTGGTTCAAACCCACCTTGGAAACCCACTACAGTGGCATTGCAGCAGCTGCTCCCCGTGCAGAGTCGGCATTGTGTGCAGTAATCTGTGATATGTAAATGGAAAACTTTGCTGTTCCTTTAAGGCCTCTTTTCTGATCATCTGCCTTCTTTGATCTCTGAAAGAATGTGATAGGCAGAGAGTTCTACCCAGTGAGCTACAGCCCCAAACTGAAAGTAAGTGCACTCTATTGCAGTCTGACCTACATTGATGGCACATTCACATAACGTATGCAGTTGGGAAGTGCAGTTTTCTAGAACCAGGCTAGAGAGCCCCCTCAGTTTCAGAATGTAAACTTTGCTCTAAGGTGTTTGAATTCCTGCTGGTTGTCTGTGCAGTACTGGTCACTTTTATATGCTCTTGTTAAGTACCGTGGAGTCGGTTCCGACTCATAGTGACCCTGCACAGGGTTTCCGAGGCTGTAAATCTTTACGGGAGCAGAACGCCTCATCTTTCTCCTGTGGAACCGCTGGTAGTTTAGAACTGCCGACCTTGACATTAGCAGCCCAATTCGTAACCACTACGCTACCAGAGCTCCTGCTTTATATGCTAATCCTGTTTAATTCACAATCCTTCTACATGCAGAGTGAAAAGCACACACAAAGGCCCACCACTACTTGCCAGTGTTTTCTGGGTCCTACAATTCAATGGCTGGTCATTGGTGTCTTGTTCTAGCTTCACAGAAGTGTGTGTGTGTCCATGTGCACATTCTGGAAAATTCTGGCTGTTCCTTGTCACCAAGCACTCAACTAGGGCTGATAGAAGGTAACTTTTGATAAGTTATTTAAGTTGCTAGCGGGTTATCCCCTGGGTTCTATTTTGCTGCCACTCCAGGGTTCTCAAGTGGTTTAATTTCCACTATTCTTATGTAATTAGAGAGAGTTGCCAACTCTGGAGTGGATCCGAAGCCTTCTTTGTGCCTCACCATAGGTGTGCTAGAAGTAATTGGCCTTAACT